GCTGCTGCTGCTGCTGCTGCTCCGGATGCGGATGCTGATCTGGTGATGATGATTGTTGTTCTTACTGTGATGATGCTTATGATGGTGACGATGATGGTGACGACGACGATGACGATGACGATGACGATGACGATGACGATGACGATGATGATGATGATGATGGTGATGCTGGTAGTGCTGGTGCTGGTGCTGGAGCTGGCGGCAGCCTTGCCAAACGGACTACGCCCAGCAGGTGTGCCGGGAGCCGCACTGTTGCGCGTCGTAGGCACCCTTCAGCATGATCTGGACGGAAAGGCATAGTCAATATCTTTGGACAGCAAGTGGCGGTGTCTTCACAAGAGCAGGCGAGCTTGACCCAGTAAAGCGATACCACTGAACTTCATCAATCATCGAGCCATCAATGCTCGAGGGTCGCACGACATGCCAACCACACGATTGTTGTCGACGATGGTCACCGGCTATCGGAGGTGAAACGCGGGCCAAAGTTTAGAGCTCGAGGACATGAGGGTGGCGTTTAGGGTTCCAGAATCTGCCAAGGAGACATCTCTCCGCTTCAGCTACAGCTCGCAACTTGCTGGACCTCGCTCGTTGACATGCACTCAAACCAGCCTGAGAAAGCAAATCCAACAAGAATCTTTATGCTATAAATCCCACATCCCCATCTTCTGGCGTAAATACCGATTCCTCAGGCCAGTGGCATAGGGTGAAACTGCATGAGGCAGCACAACCTGCTTCTGTCTTCTGGAAAGATAGCTGGTACATCCCAATTCATCGGAGGCAAATGCTTGTCATGTACCGATTCCTATGACCTTGTGGCAGCCCATGCATGAGAGGGTCTGCCTGTGCAGGGCTATGCCTGTGGCCGTGGTGCAGCACCCAGCGATAGCATGCCGACAGGCAATTCCCTTACGGGCGACGCACCGAGCGGCGAAGCACCGGGTGGCGACGCACCCAAAGGCGAGGCACCCAGCGGCGAGGATGCGACAGCCCTGAGCACTTTCTTGAAGCGTCCGTAAAGAAAACCAAGAGCTGCTTGGACCCCGAAGCCTCCAAGCCCCGGACCCAGCAGGGCCCGGAGCTTTCAGCGCCGGCAGCGGAGCTGTGGTACCCAGTGGCCTGAGATGCCACTAAGGATGTCTTGACTCAAACAGGAGCCAACCGAAACGCCTGCTTAAACGTCTAGTAGAGAAAGACAAAACCTTGAACCCCCTCCTGCTCTCCGCTCTCAAGTCTGAGCCCCAGGCGGTGGCGGCGGTATGTTGGTCAAGGCCAACACCTCTCAGGTCTAAGGTTCTCTTGGGGCTTCGGGTTACAGGCGTGAGGTGGAAGGTTCAGGGCGTGCGAGAAGCCCAGGGTCTCTGGATCCTGCTTGAAATCAGGCTACGATTCATGACTTTGCTCCGAAGGAATTCTGGGAATGGCTGTCGCTCCGAGGAGGTGGCCGGAAGCCGCGCCAAGCTGTCGCCCTCGCTGATAGGAAGCGACATGTCCGGCCGGTCCGCCACCATGGAGTACCTGCTCAGGAAAAACTCTCCAGCCTTGAACAGACTCAAGTTGCAGGGCTCACGGTTCCGGTGGAGGCAGCGGTGGCCGGCTGTCGTTGAGTATGGCTGGTGCAGTGGAGGACGACGCCTGCCACAGCGCTGTCAAACGATCACCTTCCTCATGATTTGATAGGAAGCGTGCCAGGGACGCGGGCGCTTGAGGTTTATCGCCGGGAACGAAATCCCTTGGCAGCAAGCCGAAAAGAGGGAGCGCGACTCGCTTTACTCGACGAGCGCGGCTGGCTCTGCTCCAGCCATGCAAGGCCATCTGGGCCACCGAGCATGCCGGCTGGCGGTGGAGGCGGCGCCTGAGCTCAAGGTTTGGGGTTCAGGGTTGATCCTTCTAGAACCGGAAACAAAGCGCGGGCTACAAGGACTGTCACACCATTGTGAAGCGGGTTCTGAGATTCCAACGGCCTCCTTCGACACGGCCGCAAGACATGCAGCGAATAGAGTACATGGACTCGCCGCGAAGCTAGTCAGTTCAAGCCAGCCCCGGTCCTTCATCAAGGTCTCCAGATGCTCCATGCTTTGCTGGCCAGCTTTGAAGGTCGTGTTGACGATCTGACGGAGCATCGAAGGCACTGTTCCTTCCGTAGAGCCAAGCCGGGCTCCGGGCCTGACCATTGGAGTAGATCACGCGGCCTTCTCCCTGCTCGCACGAGGAGGCAAAGGCAGGTGAAGCCATCAAAACTAGTTTGGGGGCTAAAGTCTTAAGGAGGGATTCTTTCGAGCAAGGCTTGGCAAGGAGCACCTGACAGTGGAGTTGTCTCGCAGAGTCGTCCTACATCCGAAGTCGCATATCAAGCTGTGATGCACTCCGGTGCCCGTGTGCGCAGCTACTGCTGAACTTAGTTTGTACATGCTTGGGCAACAGCCGTTGCTAGCAATTCTTGAGCGGGACCCGCTCCTTTTGAGCGAGGCCTGCAACCACAGTATACTGCAAGCCAGCACCCGTGCCTCGGGAACATCCTCACTCCAGCCGCCCTCGTAGAGGCTGCCGTCCGTGAACTGACAGTCCCAGCTTGCCAAGTGTCAGCAAAGACTGCAGGAGGATTGGGTGAAGACATCTGCAAGGGCACGGTCAAGCCCTAGACGGCTGCCGTGCCCTCAAGCAACGGGATGAGGGTTGCCTTTTGGACTCCTTTCCGGTTTGGAGGCCCCTGTCATCAAAAGCTGGGCACGGCACCGTTAGGATCCCATAGCCTTGCCGCAGATTGTCCTGGAACTGACCTTGGTACCGTGTACCTGCCAAGGTTTGAGGTTCAAGACCTAAGCAACAAACCCTAGCTACTCGAGTTGCGGAGTCAAAGAAGCTCTTCGCCGCAACATCTTTTCTACTCACCTTGTGGCGTTCTGTGCTGGCCTACGACTACGAGGTTTGGCCCACTCTTCGAGTCTAGCCTTTGGCAGCTAAAGCCTAGGGGAGCTGTCTGGCTCAACACATGTACTCGTCATGCGCAAGGTGAGGCACAAGGGCTCGAAGGGATCGAGAAGCATTTGTGCCCTACGACGGCGCACCGTCGTAGTACTTGTAGACACCCTGGCCGTGCATCCTGCCATTCTCCCAGTGGCCTTTGCAGCGTCATAGCGACCATCCCGTGGCCACGCAAACAGACCAAAAGTCCACAATGCATCCCTGAAGATCGAGCAGACAACATGCCAAGTCAACGGGAGAAAATTCTGGCCGTGTGGCCGTCGTATTCGTCGACCTTCCCGTCCCCGGCATTCCACCGCATCCGACCTGCGCAGCTCATGCCATCTCTAAGGCCACACCCAACCACACTCAAGGCCCACCTCGACCGTGAAACTCTCTTTTTTGAAACCTCAGCCACAGCCGTGACCAAAAGAAAAGCCTCGGCTCAAACGAGTTGCTAGGATTCTCGCTGGCCGTAATACTCGCTGCCATCTTCGTAAGCCTCAAAGGTCCACAATCTTCACACATGCACGGAGCGGTCAGATGGATGGTTGGATGGATGGATGTATAGATAGCTAGGTATGTAGGCAGGTAGAAAGATAGCTAGGTAGACAGGCAAGCAAGCAGGCAGGCAGGCAGGCAGGCAGAGAGGCAGAGAGGTAGAGGTTGAGAGGCAGAGAGGTAGAGAGGCAGAGAGGCAGAGAGGTAGATAGCTAGATAGATATAGTAGCAGCCAGAAAGTTGGAACATAATTATCTTCATACCCTTAAGGTAAAGAAAAAGGGATCCTAGCACTAATCCTCCCAAACCCATATTCCAACTTTCTGGGATTCGCTGTAGATAGATAGATAGACAGATAGATACAGTAGATACCTCGGAATCTCGAAAGATATAGGTGTAGATATAGATGCGTACATACGCAAACAGATACCTTGACCTTTACCAAAACATGTACATGAACGCGTGGATGCCGGCTTATGTACAGTACCTTCACATAACCATGTGTTTGCCTTTATGTATATGTGTGTGTGTGCGCGTGTGTTTGTGGTGGAGTGGGGTGTGGATATGTATGTATGTGAGTATGTGTGTATGTGTGTATGTGTGTATGTGTGTATGTGTGTATGTGTGTATGAGTGTATGTGGGTATGTGCGTATGAATGTACGTACATACGTACATACAGACAGACAGACATACATACATGCATATATTATACACGTACATTCCTACATACATTCCTACAGTATATTATAAGAAAAGCGAGAGAGCTGAGGCCTCTTTGCGATCGAGTAGCAAACATTGTGGCACGCATTGTTGAGCTCTTGGCTGTGACTGGTCATGGTCCCCAAGACGCACGAGCCACACGGACCACCTCTCAAACAATCCCTCAGAGGGAAAGCATCGATTCAACTATCACTATGATCCCCAATTACATTGCAGGTCGTAGAACCCTTCCTTCGAATGCAGAATGACCGGGATTCGAGCACCCATGTCGGGTGTATCGTACCGAGGAATGTGACCCGTGCCCCTGGACATACACGGCTTAATGATTAAGGCTCTAGGGTTCAGGTTAGGGCGATAGTGACGCTAGTGTGTGCAACTTACCACTTTCTGCCGCCAGAGGACATCAGGCAGCTGGCAACACAAGCATGTGCAAACTGCTGCGGCTTCTGACCCAAACCCGTCAACCTGCTAAACCCCAAACCCCTATAAGCCCTAAACCCCTTTTGCTGCTGGACTCAAGTCTAGCCGGACCCACGACCCGCAATAAACAACAAACGCGTCAACATGCCCAAGGCGCCGCGGCAAACCGGCCGAACATCCGCCGCGCTCTCCTGGGTGCGACAAGGCCAGTTTGGAGTTGAAGGTTGAGAGCATCAGGAGTCTTGCTACTAACATGACATAAAAATATAAATAAATAAATAAATATATATATATATATTGATATATATTGTTCAAATTATTCAATCCTGAAGCCCCAAGAATCCCTGCTCTTCTGCAGTCCCGGCGTCCTCAGCGGGGCTGGAGCTCCCCGCGCTTGGTCCCGGCTATGAGCCGAGTCGGCAGCGGATGCAGAAGTTTCCGGGCAGCTTACTGGGTTTATGGGTAAAAGTTTGTGAGCGGCTTAGGCTGGATTAGGATTTTTATGTTCATGCGTTGTCTGTTTGCGGGGTTTCGGGCGTTTGGGGCTTAATGCCCGCTTTGGCGAGACTTTGTCACTTAAAGCGGATCGAGCAGCAGAATGGTACATGAAGGAATGGCTTCGGGCCGATTGTAAGGGTTTTGTGGTGTTGCATGCAGGTTCTGTCGGGTGATTTGGGTGGTACTTTGGATGGGGCGTACAACTGGTGTCGTAAATACCAAAACTGCGGATATCCTAACTCAGTCTATCTCACAATCCTATGTCCACACCACTTTGTTGAATCTCCGGGAGATCCAGTAGCCAGCGCTGATTTCACTTCTACAGGTCATGAACAAACACCCGCATACACAATTCAGACTGGAGAGTGGTGGTACAAGTTTCACATGTCTCGAGCGGGGACAGTGTGTCTGCGTTCAGACACCAGGGCCGTGCTGACGGCTGCTCCTCCACAAAGGTTGGTCTTAGTCTTGTTTCTTCCTAAGTCCTCGTGCGTTCCTACCACGGTTAGCCTTGTATGCTTGCATTCAAGACACAAGGCCGAAAGTGCAGCAAGCCCCAATTCCTCCTCCCCCAACTTGGCCCCCAACGCTTTAACTTCCAAGAACGTATGCTATGGCATGCTGCATGAGTTGCATCCCCTTATCTCATCCGCTTGGTGAAGTCCTGATGGCGAAGGCTAAAAAGGAATCATCAAACGATGCTCAAGTCACCCTGCAGAACTGCAACCCCACCTTGGCTTTGCTTGCGCACACTTTTCTAAGGTCGCCACATGCAAGGTACAGGGCCACCTGCAGCAGGCATCATCTCGAACATGTACTAGGCGCCTGAAATGCCCTCTTCCTGGCATTGTCTGACTCTGACACTGTGGCCGTGATCTTGCAGGAACTGTCATCACAAACGTGCATGACGATAGTGCTTGAACCCACAAGCCGTGTAGGGAGGCACTCCGCCCTGAAATGCACCGACTCCCAGAAGCCATACATCAACCGTAAGCCTGCAGAAAGAGTATTCGGGTTACCCTACGACAGAGACAACTCTTGTCAACACCTCAGAACTGCTACAACCGTATGCGACTTTGTTTAGGGCGTGAATATGAGCCTTGAAGTAGTGTTTGGACCTTGCACGGGGCCTTAAGTCAGTACAAGCCCGGAGTCCTAATACAAGCATTCAGAGGCCCCCGACCAAAAGAGTGGCCTGGGTAGGCTGCCTTATTCTCAAGGTACCGTGGTTTCTCTGCACAAGACAAAACCAGGAGCCGTCAGCCCTAGACTCTGAACCAACTCAAAAGTGCCTGTCCGAAGCAGTTGGTACGGTGCACCGATGCGCCAGCTTGAATCAAGAGCTGGACCTGCATTCAGGTCAAGGGCTGCTTGAGGGTCTCTCAATGGCTTTGAGGCTTCGGAAGGCTTGTTTTTTACATGATGTGCGGGCTTTCAGATGCTTGTGAGGTCTGGTTCAGTGTAGGCTCTCAAAACTCGGACAGGCCGGGAAAAGGGCTACACTTCGAAAGCTCTGCAAGCCTTTGGCCAATCCCATTCAAGTCCCAGCTGACCGAGTAACCACAGCAACCACCGAACACTTGGGACAAAAGCCCCGAACATTGAGTTCGACCAACACCACGCCATGCTCTGCACTTGGCTCCATGCCACGGCGCCATGGCCCTTTGCTGCCGCCCGTGCCAGCGGCCTAGCAGTCTGGTATGGGTCGAGGGGTGAGCGGAAATTTCAATAATGCTTTATAATACTCTTCTAACTGTAATCAACTTTTATGTGCTATCGCATTGCTGCGACACAGTCACTATTTGGCAGTAGCCATGCTGGCGGTCGACACTTGTAGCTGACACATGTCATAGTACCACGAACTTTACTTCCTCAACCTACTCTGTCTACCTACTAGCACTATGCAGTTCACAGCGGCTACGTAACAACTGATAGTCTTCTCGCAGATGACAGCCGGCCGCAAACCCTTACCCCTCAACCCTAAGCCGCGAAGCTCTGGATCCAGCAACCCTTAAACCCGACTGTCTCAACCCTATAAAACCCGTAATGCGCCCTAAGAGCGCAGAAGTCGAAGCCTCGCGGACAACCCAGCAACTCTCAAACCCCAAGTCCTGTACCACACTTTATACTTGCAGAAGCCTTTACTTACAAAGGCACACAGATCTCCGGGCATCATAGACCCATAACCCCTAAAGCCTACATTAAAGTCCCTAAGCCCTGAACCGTGGACTCTACATCAGCACTCCGATCCTTTAGACAAGTGGCGTCTCGCCCCGCTCGGTCTGAGCTTCTAAAACCTTCCGATCCTGCGATGGCTTTGTGCTTCCACAGCGGCTTTTGAAGTCTGTATGTAGGTCTTACAGGGCTTAGGGTCTAGGGTCTTGAAGGGCATGTAGGGGTTTCACAGGGGATTGAGAGGCTTTACAAGGTTTAGAAGGTCTTTTCGTGTTTTGCAGCGATTATGCTACAGAGTCTTGAGACAAAGATTCCTGGGTATATTATTCCGCAGGTTTCTCAAAATGAGGGAAGATGGTTCAGGGTTCAGGGTGCGTGGCGTCTTTGAGGTCCCAAACCGTGCATCAGCCCGCAAGCCGAACAGCCAGCCCATAATAAAAAGCCAATATGCCGATCTCCTTAGAGTCCCAACGTAACTCTCTATCTGTTGAGGCCCCTCCATTACGCAGTCACACACGGCAAGGCCCCACAAAGCTCGAGCCACACAGTCCTGAGTCCCGTTTGACCTGGGCGGAATTAGGAGGAGTCACGACAATCGCAGGACGATACATGACTCAAAAGCTTGACTCACGTGGTGTAAAAAAATGGCTTCAACCTCGTTCACTCAATGCAAGTAAGTAGGGTGCTTCGGAACTTTTGAGTTCCTACAGGCAAGAATGTCATGGATTAGGGGGGAAAGGGGCGAAACGACACGGGGAAGCTTGTCTCACAAAGATACTCACTCAATTGTTCATCCGATCATTCTTCCCTTCGTATTCGCTTCAACTCGATCCGATGCTAATCAGCAACCAACGCCTGATTCCGCCTAACCTTCATCCCTCAAATCCAACCCTGACTCGGGAGACTCTTAAGCCTCGAAACCAGCCTGCCTGCAAAACCGCATGTAGCTTTCGGCCCTGATCCTAAGTAAGTGAAGCCGAAACCTCCAAAACGCGAAGTCTTGAAACCATAATCTTCCACACGAAATCAATTCCAAAAACCCTAGAATCTCCTAGAGTCTAGAACCCTGCAACCATGTTCAATTCTCCTAAACCCACAGCGGATATCCTTCCTGGAAGCATCATGCCGTTCTCTGAACAAGCAAGACACTTAGCGAAAACGCACATCTCTGCCTTTCATGTTCACTTTGGTGCACTACTGAGCATTCCGATGAGGCGGAAATCCTAAATCCAGAAACCTCAAGCCCTGAAGCCCCTAAAGCGAAACTCGGGATCCCGGCTCTTTGGGATTCAGCAGCACGGCTGTGGCCACCGAAGCACCCGACTCGGCGGCCATGTGCAGGGCGTTGCGCTTGTCGACCGTCAGGGCACCCTGGGAGACGATCAGTGTGTCGTTGCTTTAGAAATAGATGTGTATATATATATATATTATACACACACATACATACATACATGCATACATACATGCATGCATGCATGCATGCATGCATGCATGCATGCATGCATGCATGCATGCATGCATCCATCCATACATACATACATACATACATACATACATACACTCTACTCTACAGTACACTACTCTACTCTACTATTTACTATTTACTTTATATCTAATTACTATAGTCCAAAGTCTTTCTACTAGATACGATGTACTGCACTATACTACACTAGCCTGTCGAAGGTTTGTTGTTGCATTTAAACAGGATTTAGGGGTTAGGGGTACTGCTCATGGAGTTTAAGGTCTAGCTTTAGGGTTTTTGTTGAACCTCCAAAGGATCCTAAGTAGCTATATGGGGGGATACTTACCCAAACCATAACAGAAATTGCTACTACGGAAACCCTACGTTCTACTATGCAGGTACTTAGGACCGGCCTTTGGCTGACTTTTTTGGTCTCCGGCCTTTTGGGTGGAGGCTTCCAGGGTTTGGTGGGTAAGGCGGTTTTAAAGGGCAGGATTCGCGCATGCTGAGTGATGTAATTTTTGGTCGAGGGTGATATGATGTAGTTTTGGGTTCTGATATCTGTCTATTTATCTATCTATCTATCTATCTATATGTATGTACGTATGTATGTATGTATGTACGTATGTATGTATGTATGTATGTATGTATGATAAAAAAGGATGGGGCTGAATCTGATGTGCTGCGTTCTCTATCTGTCTATCTGTCTATCTATCTAGCCATCTGTATGATGTATATGTGTATGTCCATGCATACACGCAGTGACTGCCTGTCCGCTTTTGCAAGGATCCGTGAGCTGTGCCCCGAACTGGCTTGGCGCCATGGGTGATCAAAGTCTGAACCTTGGCAGGCCGGGCAGGTCACATAGAGGCCGACATGGTCCTGGTGTTTCTGCTTATTTTGAGATGGGAGGGCGGGGGTTCGGCTCATGATAGTCCAATTAGAAAGAGAGCCAGGCCAATAGACCATGACGCCTGGGGAACATGCGAACCACTGGCTACTGAGACCTGGGACTCGATAGTGTTCTGAGTAATCTGGCTTATGGACTTATGGCTTAAGATACCGCCATTCAGACATTCAGACCCGGTGGAGGGAATTAAGACCGGTGAGTCGTGCTGTGTCGTGCCCTTCTTGCCGTTGTGATTGCCCGTCTCACTGCTGGCAGCCGTAGCCATGCAAACATGGGTAACATTTGTTAAAATGACTATTGACTCCTACTCTGTGCCACGATCACCACCGCTGCTTCTGCGTTTGCTCTCTCTCTCTCTCTCACTTCGCCGTTGCGTCTACCTTTGCTGCTTGTTGCTGTTACTGTACCTGCTGCTTTTGCCGTGCTTGCTGCTCATTACAGCACAGCTAATCACAAGGCCGTTGTAATCTACGCCATGCTGCTCTGGCTGCCAATATGCTGCATCGTCAATGAGCCAACACCACAGTCAAGGCTACCGTCATGCTATTGGTCTTGACTGCGCAGCAAACGATCATCCTGCTGCTGATGATGGTGGTGGCGGCTCATCATCACCGTTCGTAACCATCAAAAACAACATCATCATCATCATGCCCATCCTCGTCATCATGGCTAGCGGCATTCTCATCATCTTTGCTGGCATCGCCAAAACTGTAGCGACGGCATCCAGGGTCCAGGATAACGTCATGAGAGCGACAACAAAAATATAGTAGCGTTTGCACAACTATGGCACTGCTACGGGCCATTGCCAGAATCATATAATGGTGGCTTATTCGGACATACTCAATTACATCACGGGATCACTCTGTCCCGGTAACCAAGACTCTTCATGCATTCTTGTTAGCATTTCTCTTTGGATAGGATTCCTGACACGACCAGTGTCAGGGGGAAGACCCTGCTAAAGACTTTAACCACCCTTTTGAATCAAGAGCTTGCGCCACCATAAGCCCTCACAAAAGCGAAATCCTAAAGCCCTACTTGCCTTAATCCATGAACCCAAACCCAAAAACCTCGCGCAAAGCACAAGCAGACAGATCACAAGGCGACCTGAACTCTTGAAAGTCGGAAGCCGTTTAGTATTGTAGGATTTTCGGGTTTAGGCTTCAGGGTTTATGTAGGGGTTACGGGCTATGGGGACTGCACTCCCCCTTTTTCCTCCCGGCATCGCCCCGCGCTTCAGAGCCGTGCTGTGAGTCGATCATGGGCGTGGCGGGGAGGATTACGCGTTCTTTCGCATCGTGGGGCATGTCGATGCACCACCCGAAACCATAGTTCTAGTCTAGCTTCAGGCTGAGATTTCTCCCTGAACCCTAAACCCTAAACCCTGAACCAGAGCTCTAGCTTCAGGCTGAGATTACGGCACTGCTTTAAGGCGAAGGGGGATCGGACTTAGGGATTCTCTGGAAATCCCTCCCAGTGGATCCGCAAGGCGATGTTCGGGAAGCGGCGTCGAAACCTCGGAGCTTGAATTCACTTGCGAGCAGGGACGGGGAGGAGGGGGGGGTGGTTGTTCGGGTTGGGGTCTTTTCTCCCTCCTACTTAGCAAGGACGAGCCCGCATTGCAAGGT